TAGCTGTAGCTCAAGAGCAGGGACAGCACTCCTTCAATCGCTTGCTGCAGCAGTAAGCTGGAACCCAAGAAAACTTGAGTACCAAGTCAAAGTATGACACTGCTTGCCCACAAGGCTCAGCTCTTTCCTTACGGGGTAACTGTTTTAAGTGATCTGATTCCAAGTAGACAAAACACAAAGGGTGGTTACTGAAGATAAAGATACAAGCTAAGCTGTCAAGGGCAGGCTCGGAGAAGTGGAAAAAAAAAAAAAGACCAAACAGTCATCTGACAACTAGAACAAGGATGTTTCCATTTGAACTTCTGTCTGCCACCACCTGACAGCAAAAATACCACTAGTTCCTAGTTATCAAATATTGCCAAGCAAGCCAAGCTATAATGACCTAAGGCTGGCCAGTCTCATACTGAGTTCCCAGCTAGACCCTATGCCTCCAGAAAGTATCTAAAATGCTAACAGTTTGGAGAAACTACTTTCACAAAATGCTAAACTTGGGATACAACTCTAGAACACACTTTTGCCAGGTCTTCTAATCAAAAATGCTTGACTAAAGAAAAATATGAGAAACTCTTCCCTACATTATCAGAAAACCTATTGCTTTGTACAATTATAGAAACTAGAATATAACTACATTTCTATTTCTAAATGTAAAAACCCCAAGTCATAAACTCAGCATGTCATAAAACTCTTTACTTGCAAAGAACTATTTCAATGGGCTATCCTTAAAACTTTTAATCTTTCAATAAAATTAAATATGAAAGATATTGAACATAAAATAACTTGTGAAATGTTTTAATTAAAAAGATTTTCAAAGCAGTCATCTGCTTTTACTTCTATTCGAAAAAATATACGAGAATATATAAACGCTATTTTATTGTACACACCTATATTTACTTAGAATTAAACTAAGAATTAGAACTAAACTAATTATTTAAACCATTAACCCAATAACTTGTGAAATGTTTTAATTAAAAAGATTTTCAAAGCAGCCATCTGCTTTTACTTCTATTCGAAAAAATATACGAGAATATATAAATGCTATTTTATTGTACACACCTATATTTACTTAGAATTAAACTAAGAATTAGAACTAAACTAATTATTTAAACCATTAACCTTTAATTCTTCATGGAAAAATTCCTGAGTAGCAATGAGAAGACTTCAGGAAAAAATATTTTCCCAGGGCTTTTACAACTCTAAATATGCCAACTGGTTATCATCCTTTGGGCAAACGTGCTAACACATGTTACGTGTTCCCAAACTAAGTAACCGAAAAATATAAATGTTCTGCATAGATCTCTTTTTAACCTCAAAATTCCTCTTCCTGAGCCTACCCCAAAAGTACAAATTTTTCTACAAAGTTCAGCTTTTCCACATAGTACATGGTTTTAAGTTAAAAAACTGTCAATTCATTCTTTTACCTAGCTTAAATGAAGCGCCCATCTTTTATATCAAATTGCAAAGTGAACTCAACAGACATAAGCAATTTCTCAAACTCTCAAGAGAAGGGACCTCAGAAATCAGAGTCCTATCTCACCCACCAAAGTCATGACCTCTCCTCCTCTCTATCTACCTAAACTTCTCACAACAAGAGGTCAGCAGGGACGTGGAGAGAAAACTCACCATCTCACAGGCAATTTGTTAACTTTTCAGTTGTTGAAAAATGTCTCCCATAGGCTGGACTGAGACTGCCTGCAGTGTGTGGTCTTTCCTCTGCAGCTGTGTCCTTCCACACTACAGCCCTGAACACTGTGTTTGCAAGAAGTGAATGGAGCTTTCACAGTGCTAATCTACGACAAGCTTCTCAAAACCGTTTTATTCTGGAGACTCTTCTACATAATGGTCTAAGACTGGTCTAAGCATCCACCTTCTCAAATGGCTTTAATCATGACCTTTAAAAGTCTAGTTTCACAACATCCATGACTTTACTGCATCAATTTTCAGAATTAAACAGTTATCTACTTTTCACATCAGATTGGTAAAAAAGGGGGGAAATATGGAAATAAGTCAACTTTATACATACATGTTTAATAAAACTCAAGCTAAATGGTACATGCAAGTAAATTTCTTCTTGGGAGGTCTGGCATCTACATTCCTAAGGGCACAGACTTGCAAGTGCAAAAAAAGCAGACTCACAGTGACTCCCAACTGCAAACTGAGAAAAAGCACTGTAACGTCTAAGTGACTAACAAACAACTGAATATAGTTCAATAAGGATTCATTCTATGTACTACACCCTGAAATCTTCCAATGGGGACCCCTGTAGAGACTGCTACAATGTAGTGGGGCTCCAACACAAGAAATGCTATGAAAGCCTCAACAGAGTATCTGCATCTTAAATTCGACACCTCTTCTATGCTCAATTTTAAGGACTTTGAGCTAGGGAGTCAAAGGAAATGCAATGAGTTGAACAGGGAAAAGTAATACACCCCAAAAAGAGGAGGAATGCTCTTCAGGCCTATGGTGGTGGTTTAGTCACTAAGTCACATCGGGCTCTTTTGCAACCGCATGGACTGTAGCCCACCAGGCTCAAAGGCTCTTCAGGCCTATAGAGTATCCCCCCCAAAAAAGAAACAAGAAAATCTCTCTGGGAATCTATGAAAAGACTGAAAAAATTAGTCTCAACATGCACATCTGTTTTAAAAATTACCTACAGTATTCCCTCTATTCCAAAATACATAAATGACTTGAGGGAGGTGGAAATTAAGTCATCAAAAAGGTGCACCATAAGAGGCATACACATTTCCAAATCTAAAAATAGATACGCTACTTAAATTGGGGAGTTACACACAATGGGCTACCTACAGAACAACAAAACTGCTGCATATTAGAAAGGAACTTTCCCTAAAGCCTGTCAAAGCTCACAGTGGCATTTTTCATTCATTTCCTCCCTAAGTATTGATCTTATTTTAGAACTCAATTTCCCCAAATTGAAAGCAAGCAGAACTTAGAAGACAGAAGTTTTGTGTGTGTTACTCGAATTGACAACCTACTCAAAAACACGTTTTATGAATACAAAAAAAAGAGTTTGTTTTTTTTTTTTTACTGTTTAATCTTACTTTATTTAGGTCAAGGATCTCTTCAACACAACTTCATCATCATTGTTACAATGTCCTTATTTGTAGCCATGGAGGCCTGCACCTCCAGGCAGGAGTTCACCTTGATTATCTGCAAATAATCACCTTGATTATCCCACACACCTGCCAGGATTTCAAGAAAGGTTAATTGAATTATTATTTTAAGCTGCACTATGTAGCTTAACTGGAGTAAAAAAAATGTGTGTTCCACACCACAGATGACTGAATAATCATCACACAAAAAAAGTATATAATAAATACATTTAACTAACATACTAGAAGCTCTGTGAACAAATGCACAGTACTCAGCAGCTATCCTAAAGATAAAGAGTTCTGAATTTTCATTTCAAAGGTTTATGGAATGAACAAACACTATACACATTGACTCATGATACTTGCTTTCTCCCTAAAACAAGGTGAAACAAAAAAAATTTCAACACATTTCCCAGGTTCTGATACCTCCTAAAACGGGTAAGTTAAAAGGAAGAGTTTTTTTCATTGTTCCTATTCTCTTTAAGCACTGTATTTTAGAGGGAAGTGAGCCAAGAAAGCGGTAATACTCAAGAGGCTAAACAATACAACCTTATCTTCTCCCAAATTCAGGAAGAACAAGCTTGAGGCCACAACAGCATGCCTGACCAGGCTCTCCAGACCTGATCCAGAGACCCGGTGTCTTCCCAGCTCAGTGTGCAAAGAACCAAAATTTTCCTAATGCTCTGGGATTGGTAATTTTCCAATAGCCCCAAATTTAAGTACCATCTAACTTTCTAACAGCTCGTTTTCAACACTGATCCGAAATATACAATGTGCCCCAAGTTTCTGGCGATGTTAAGAAGCTAGCTATGTTCCCAAAGTTCAAACATTAGTATTTTGTTGTTGTTCTTGTCGTCGTTATCTATACCTGCAAGGGAAGGGGGTGGGGGGGAGGGGAAAAAAAAAAGCATACACCACACGCTACGTTACCAAATTCACAGAAGAAGGGGGTTTCGGCGACGGCTTGAGGAGTACCTGACCCAGAACAGAGAACGAAGAACGGCTCCAGGCTGCGGGGTCCCTGTCCTCGGCCGCACCATTCCCTGGAGTGGAACGGGCTTGCAGGATCGCTTAGCATCCCTCCAAATCTGAAATCCCCTACCTCAAGAGCAATCAAAAGCAGGGCGGGGGTGGGGTGGGGGGGGTAGCCAAGTTTCTTCCGGAAGGCGCAAAAAAAAAGGCCACAACTTGGATGAATGAAAACTGGGCTAAGGGCACCCGGAGCAGGACTGCCGCTGAAGTCACAAAAAGAGAAAATCAAAGAATTTTTTTTTTTTTTTTTAACGTGAGAGCCGGTTCTACGCGACCGTGGTCCAGACACAACCGCGCGCGCACGCGCACACACACACACACACACACACACGCTTTGGAGAAGGTTTTATTGAGCACGGACGGTTCCGGGGCGGCCGGCGGGCGCTACAGTGGAAGGCGGGCGGGCGGCGGAGGCAGGCTGAGGCGAGTGGGCGGCGGCGGAGCGGGGCCGGCGACGAGGCAGCTTCGCGACGGCTGGCGCGCGGGGGACCCTGGGCTCCAGGCCCGCGCTGGCGCGTGTCCTCCCCGCAGACCTTCTCATTGGGATCCGGAGGGCCGGCCCGTCCCCCCACCTCCCATCGCCCGCCCGCCCGCCCGCCCGGCGAGGCCGCGTGCGAGGCACACACCCTCCCGCGCCGGCACACCCCCGCCTCCCGCGCGCACGCGGCCTCGCCGGGCAGGCGGGGGCCTCCCCCCACTCCACAAGCGCCCCATCAAACGAGAACGCCCGCTGCCCCAGTCCCCCCGCTTCCCCAACCTCCGGCCCCGCGGGAACTGAGGGAAGGGGCGGCGGCGGCGGCCTAGCGGGGAAGGCGGGCTGAGGTGAGGTGAGGTGGGGGGGGCGGTGGGAAGGTCACTCACCCGCTGCATGGCTTTCAAGATCAAAGCCAGCTCGTAGCGGGGCATGCCCGAACGGATGGCCCGCGGCTTCCGCACCGAGCCGGCTCCCAGGACACCGGAGGAGGGTGGGCTGACCCGCGCGGAGAAGCTGACTGGCTTCACTAACTGGGCCGGAAGGCTCCCGGGCGGCGACAGCACGCTCCGGCCGCGCGAGCCCGGGCTTAAAGCCGCTGGCAGCTGCGCAGACGGGGCTGCCACGCCCCCTCGGCGGGCCACACCCCCTACACGGGCGCCAGGCCACGCCCCCTCCTTAAGGCGGCCGCGCCGCGCCCCCACCGAAAAGCCCGGCTCTCGGCGGCGCCCGGGGACCCTCCCCCTCCCCTCCTCCGCCCCCAGCCCCCGGGCCGGGCCGGCGCCACAGAGCGGGGACGCGCCGCGGGTCTCTCCGACCAGGAGCCGCCGGCAGCCGCCGATCGCCCCCCTCCGACCCTGCTGCCGCTGCCCTGGCTACGTACGCTTCTCGAACCAGCTGGAACTTTCCAGGCCTCCCGTCTCGTCCTGGGCGGCGGGCGAGCCTGCGCCCCCGTGTGCGCGTGCGCTGCGGTGCGGTGCGGTGCGGTCCCTGCGCGCGCGCGCGCGCGCCCCGACTGCCGGGCGCGAAGGGCCTGCTCCGCGGTCACACTGCTCCGCGCGGGAATGTCTGCGGGACACGGGGATTCTCTCTCCCCGCACCCCCACCCTACCCCCGGCCGCTCACCCAGGTTCTGGAACGTTCTGAGGCTTCGATCTGCGCCCCCCCACCACCACCACCTCCCACTCCGCGGGGGGGATACCCGGGTGGGCTGCCCTAAGTGCCCTTGCCCACAGCTCTCCTTTTTCCAGCGTGGCTGCCCAGGGGCGGCTTCCCTGGACCCCTTCGACGGGAAAAGTGGGCCCCCGGCGCCGGCAGTGGGGCGGGAGGGCTCCCCTTTTTTCCCCATCCCTCGCGGGCTGCCTGACCTTGGGGCCGGCTCCTGCATAAAAGGGGGATGTGAAGGGCACCTGCTTCCTAGGGGCCGTGATAACCTGTGAGTGACTTGATGCTCATAAACCATTGAGAACGCTGCCTGGCACAGACTGGCATTTGTTGTTTTGTGCGCATAGCCTGACCCACGTGTTGTTGCTAAGGACAGGCTAATACTCCGGCTCAAACTGATATTCTTTCAATGTTTACTGGGCGTTCACTTAGAGAACCAAGCTGAAAGCTTGGAAGGCCATTTAGTAACCGTCTGGGGTTGTGCGTGCCCTGGACGCAGTGAATAACCCTCACCCCACCCCACCCCACCCCCAAACATGCACACACAGCTCACTGCCCAACAGCCTTGGCTGTGCTCGCCCCGGCACGTGGTGGTGGTGGAGGTGGTTTAGTCGCTAAGTCGTGTCCAACTCTTGTGACCGCATGGACTGTAGCCTGCCAGGCTCCTCTGTCCGTGGGATTTTCCAGGCAAGGATACTGGAGTGGGTTGCCATTTCCCTTCCCTGGGGATCTGCCAGACCCAGGAAGGGAACCAGGGGTCTCCTGCATCACAGGCGGATTCCTGCGTTGCAGGTGGATTCTTTACCAACTGAGGCAGGAGTTGGACTCGATGCCTCTTTCTCAAGCCTCGCTCCTGATTCCCCTGCCCGTGCTTGCCCCATTGAAAGGGTCTGTAGGCAAGATGTTTGTCAACATTTCACTGCTTTAATAATAGGTAAGGTTTACTGAGCACTTAACTGCGTACCAGGGACCACAATGTGGCTTTTTTATGTGTCTTAAAATCTCATAACTGCTCTATGAGGCAAGAACTATTAGGGTAACCCCCTCCTTAGGGATTTAGAAGCAGGCACTCAAGACCAGCCCCAGGTCTGATAGGAATAGGGACCAAGTTTGGAGCCAGACTATCTGGAGGCTGAGCTCATACTGTTTTGCAGTAGGTCTACCATGTACTCTGTGTAAACCAAAATTGAGACTCCGTATGCCACCGTATCCAGACACCTTACTGATTCTTATCCTCAACCTCGCATCCACCACCAAAGGTAAGGATGGTTTGAGTACACTGCTTCTGTGACACCTGAATTTTGGCATTTTCTCTGACCTCTCCATCACCTTGTCCTTTCAAAGAGAAACCGTGGAGGCAGTAGTAGAAATTACCTAGTTAGTGTAATTTCGCCTTTGGTTAAAGATAATAAGATAGTGTAAATAAATAAAAAGGAAGTAAGAAATTTCTGAACCTTCAGAAGTGAGTTACGTACAGGTTTCCCAGGATGGTACCTTCCTCAGCTGTCCCTCCTGTCACATGTCCCAGTTTAAATGAGGAAATGTGGCATAAATGATTATGCCAAGCCACAGACCAGGGCAATACCATGAGCTGACTTCAACTTTTAGCATCTCCTCTAGAGTCGCCATAATTTCCCCTAATGCTCAGGGTTGCTTGAGAATCTGGTTTTTTCCCCTCCTCCTCCCTCTAACCTGAGAAGTAGCGTAAGGAAATTAGCCTGACTGCATAATATTTCAACAGTCAGCACCCTCAATTCTCCCAATCTGGTGACTGCCTGAGGGCTCATGGGTTTCTTCTGAAAAGGAGAAAAAGGAGTTGTACTCCTTTGATTACTTGCAATGTTGATTAAAACATGCTTATTGCAGTTGAAACATGTAAATAAGAAAGTATCCTATATTCAGTGGCTGTTTACTGTTCCTTCTTTTTTGGTTGTTAGTAAATTTTCTGTTGTGTGCTCAGTCACTTCTTCATGTCTGACTCTTTGCCACCTCATAGACTGTAGCCCACCAGGCTCCTCTGTCCATGGGGTTGTCCAGGCAAGAAATACTGGAGTGGATTGCCATGTCCTCCTCCAGGGGATTTTCACCACACAGGGATCGAACCTGAGACTCCCGTATCTCCTGCATTGCAGGCATATTCTTTTACTGTTGAGCCACTGGGAAAGTCCCCATTAATAAATTTTACAACCCTTTAAACAAAATTTTAAGCACAGTGGCAGAATACTGGTGGGTTCATTTAAAAATAATAATAAAATCATAGAGAATGCTGCTGCAAATTTAGTGTCTTCCTATGATAACTATAAATGTTAATTCACCAAAAAAGATTTTTTGAATTTTGTACTCTGTATAGACATATAGGGGGCTTCCCATGGTAGCTCAGATGGTAAAGAATCTGCTTGCAATGCAAGGGATCCAGGTTCAGTCCTTGAGTTGGAAAGATGTCCTGGAGAAGGGGATAGCTACCCACTCCAGTATTCTTGCCCGGGAAATCCCATGGACAGGAGCACCTGATGGGCTACAGTCCATGGCGTCACAAAGAGTCAGACACAACTGAGCGACTAATACACACACACAGAGTCATTTAGAATTATAAAATGTTTTTGCAGTATTCATTTATTAATTTTAAAAGTTGCTCTGATACTTAGAAATAAGCTTAACCAAAAAGGTGAAATATCGATGTACTGAAAACTATGGAACACTGTTGAGAGAAATGAAAGCAGACACAAATAAATGGAAAGAGAGCCATGTTCATGAGTTGGAAGAATTAATATTGTTAAGATGCCAGTACTACCCAAAGCAAGCTACAGATTCAATGCAATTCCTATCAAAATCTCAATAATATTTTTAGAGAATTTTGAAAAAACAATCCTAAAATTCATATGGAATTAAAAAAAAAAAAAACCTGAAAAGCCAAAGCAATTTTGAGCAAGAAGAACAAAGCTGGAGGCAGTGTACTTCCTGATTTCACACTGTATTACAAAGTTATAGCAAGCAAAGCAGTACTAGTATAAAAACAGGCATATATACCAGTGGAATAGAATAGAGTGACCAGAAACAAACCCACAAGTATAAGGTCAACCAGTGACCATCTGGGATCCAGGAATACACAAAGGGAAAAGGATAGTTTCTTTAGTATATTGTGCTGGAAAAACTGTATATCCACTTGCAAAAGAACAAAATTGGACTTGTCTTATACCACCCACACATGTGCTGTGTGCTAAGTCGATTCAGTTGTGTCCAATTCTTTGCAACTGTATGGACTGTAGCCCGCCAGACTCCTCTATCTATGGGATTCTCCAGGCAAGAATACTGGAGTGGGTTGCCATGCTCTCCTCCAGGGGATCTTCCTGACCCAGGGATCAAACCCACATCTCCTGTGGCTCATGCATTGCAGGCAGATTCTTTACTGCTGAGCCATGGGGGGGTAGCCTCATACCACCCACACAAATCATCTCAAAACAGATTAAATATATATATAAAGAAACCATAAAGCTTGAAACCATAAAGCTCCTAGAAGAAAACATAGGAAGAAGCTTCTTAACATTGGCCTTGGTAATAATTTCTTGGGGACTTCCATGGTGGTCCCATGGTTAAGAATCCACCTGCCAAAAAAAAAAAAAGAATCCACCTGCCAATGCAGGGGACGTGGGTTTGATCCCTGGTCTGGGAAGATCCTTGGGATCATCATCTGGGGAATGCAAATCAAAGTTGCAACGAGATGTTAGCTCACACCTGCTGAAATGACTGTTACCAAAAAGCCAACAGAACACAAGAGCGTGGAGAAAAGAGAACCCTATACACTACTGGTGACAGTGTAAATTGGTGTAGCCACTATGGAAAACAGTACGTATGCTCTGCAAAAAAAAATTAAAAATAGAACTACCATATGACCCAGGAATCCTTCTTCTGATTCTGTATCTGAAAGAATTGAAATCATGGTGTTAAAGAGATATCTCACTCATGTTTGTTGTAGCATGATTCACAACAGTGAAGACAGGAAATAAAATGTCCAAGAATGGGGCTTCCCTGGTGGTCCAGTGGTTAAGAATCCAGCTCCCAACACAGGGCATATGGGTTCGATACCTGCTCCAGGAAGATGCTGCAGACCAACTAAGCCTGGGTGCCACAGCTACTGAGCCCACTCTGGAATTACAGAAGCCCAAATGCCTGGAACCTGTTGTCCCCAGCAAGAGAAGACACCACAGGGAGAAGCCCAGGCACCACAACAAACAGTAGTCCTGGCTCACCTCAACTACAGAAAGTCCATGCACAGCAACGAAGACCCAGCACAGCCAAAACATAAAATAAGTAGTTAAATCTTTTTTAAAAAATGTCCAAGAGTAGATAAAGAAGATGTGGTAAATGGGATATTATTCAGCCTTGAAAAAGAGAAACTTGCTGTTTGTTTGCAAAGATGGGCTCAATAAAGGACAGAAATGGTATGGACCTAACAGAAGCAGAAGATATTAACAAGAGGTGGCAAGAATACACAGAAGAACTGTACAAAAATGATCTCCATGAATGAACCTGGAGGATATTATGTAAGTGAAATAATCCAGACACAGAAAGATAAATGCTATATAATACCACTTACTTGAAATATCTAAGGTAGTTAAACGCATAGAAGCATACATGGAAAGTGATTGGCAGGAGCTGCAAGAAGCGAGGAACCAGGAGGTATTAGTCAAAGAATACAAAGTCTCAGTTTGACAAGAAAAAAAATTTCTGTAATTTAGAGTTTCCTAAACATTTTAT